CTCCTTCTCTGTTGGAAATAGTGCTTTAGTACTTTAATGGCAAGTGATACAAAAGAAGATCACCTTTGGTTGTACAGATCTTAACATAGGCAATATCTAGAAATTATTGAGTATTGGGAATTTTGAAAAAAGTGTTTTGTTTAGGTTTCCCTAGAATAATCACCAGCCTGAAAGTCCACATAAACATAAATGCATTAGGGATGACCCTAGATTGCTGTAGGGCCAAAAAAAATGAGAAAAACATTGGGTTTATCAAAAGTTAAGGTAATAACACCTTTGCTCTTTAGTGAAGCTGACTGCTTCCATCTCTCACACACATGCAGCAAGTATTTTCTAAAACTGAGAGCCTAAAGAGATTAAGTGCTTTTTTAGCTTGAGTTCAGAGTCAACAATAATTTATCTTCTAAAGAACATGACAAAAGTTCACTTTTTATGTGCATTGTCCCTCTGCCTCAATAAGGCTTATGTGGCTTTTATTATTAAATCTGTTTGCTCTCTGCTAACTTTCCTAGCACATCAGAAGTTATCCTCCTGGTAAAAAAATATGTCATCTCTCTCTAGAGGATTGTTGCTTCCCTTTCCTATTCTCATGTACTCTTGTATAGCCATGTATCACCCAAATCCATAACTCTTAGAATCTTCATGTTAAATGTATGCAGTATGTAACAAAAAAGCTGTAAGATCAGGATACAAGAATTGGGTCATGAATCTTATACTGAAAATGAGCCTAGTTGAAAGGCAAGGCAAACTGGAGAGTCACCATCATGGATATTGTGTGGAGGTGGCAATGGATGAAATTAATTGGAAGCATACAACTGTCTCTATCATTCCTCTTTCTGAAAATGTGGTGTTTTATTTACAATATCTATGGTAAACTGATTCTGAAACAGGAATTGTCTGGAATGACCCAGAATGGAACCAGATGAGGTTTACCCAGTAAATCCATGAATCCTCAATGTCTCTTGAAAGAAGAATTTGAAAGTGATTTTATATTGAGCCTCTCTACTTCTAAAGTCATAGTTCTAATGTGCAGCTGCAGATTGAGCTGCAGTTCTGTCTCCTACAAGAATGGCCCTGTAGAAAGTAGGAGGTTTGAAAGACAAGCTAGCAGATGGCATGGCCATTGATGCTTTCTGGAACCTTCCTGTAAAGTACTACTGCGCTGAGAACTAATATCATGCTATACATTGTTGCCAAATTAATAACAAGAACTAATGAAAATCCCAGGTCTTATTACTTGATATATTTCTTCCATTAAAAAAGCGGCAAGGAATACTCCAAAACTACAACAAAAAACAAGAAATCCTGACAACAACAAAAAATGTGAAAAGTATATTCTAAAGCCAATATTATATGGAAAATTGTACTTCTCACTTCCTACAATGTTAAATTAAATAGCTGGAATTACAGGTAGTTTGCAGTCATGTTTGGTAGTAGCGGAGCTGTGAATATGATACGGGACATTCAAATTCAAAAATTTTGTTCATAGTTGCAAAACATCAATGCCTCTGCATTAATGACTTTGAAGATCACTGTATGGAAAAATTACATTGTGTGAAACTGGAATATAAGTGACATGAAAACTGCATCAAAATTCTCAATATTTTCAGCAAAGCACTTTTTTTTCTTTTTTTCATTGTTCTCTTGTACCGCACTTTTAAGTTTTCTCAGATCTCCTCTAAAAAGCATATAAAAGTGTTGAAAAAAAATCTCTTTAGAGTGCTTTACACTGAATTGATTGTTCCATAGTGCCAAAGATAAACTAAATCTTGAGCTATATCACCTTCCTGGGGTTAAGTAGGTAGAGAATTGTACATTATTAATCTGACCATGGGCCAACACAGTTTTTAAATGCTTAGTAGAACAAAGTTTTAATAAAAAATGCAAAGAAGTTTGCAGTTCCAGAGCCTTAACCTTGGAATAACAAAGGTCCTCACTAATCACTTTACTAATCCATGTGGTAGCAGTTTTCTTACCACGGCATCGTTCCAAAAAGTGGCTTCTGCTCAGCGTTTCACTCCAGGTCACCAGCCACTGTAGTGCAATCCATGAGGAGATTTATGAACCTCAAAGTGGAACTCCTTAAAGAACAATGTGTTGTTAATCAGTAAGCCACTGAGTGAGCAAATGGGAAATGCTGAAGCTACAGAATTTCTCCTTTCCCCGGGATGTGAAAACCTTGCTCAGTGCATCTTCAAGGATTTACTGGCCTCTCCCCTGAAAGTCTTTTTTTAATTTTTTTTCAAAGCAGTGGTGATTAGTCATTTGGGATAGGGCTGGGTGTAGATACAAGGTAAAAGGTAGGCTGTGCAGCCCTGCAGTTTGAGATCACTGTAGTGTGCTGATGGGCTCAGCTCCATGCCCAGGGGACAGCGCTGTGCTGCTCTCAGCAACTGAGATGTGGAAACTTTCCTTTCTCTGCTTGAAGAGATTTGCTTGTACATCTCTAGCATTCAGAAAACTGCTCTGCCTGATGAAATGGTGGGTATGCTGGTGTCCTCCTCTTTTCTCTCATCCAGCATCCATCCTAAAGTATGCCAGAAAAGGTGGAACAGCCTTTACAGGGAGAATGTGAGAGTCTCAGCCACCACAGAAAGACCAGCTATAATATGGGGTATGGAGAAAACAGTATCCCTTAAGAAAGACAAAGGCATCCTTGTATCCCATAACCTCGGTTCTCGTGTAATGTGATGCTCAGCATGTCAGTCTAGACTGTAGGATTCTGGCTATGTAGGGAAACACACACAGTTCCTCTGTAGCACACAGGAGACTTATGCACCCTGAAGCAGGTATTAGAGAAAGCAAAGAGGAAAGAAAGAAAGGTCAAATAAAATCAAAGATAAGTTAGACAGATTCTTACTTGCACAGGCCACTGCTCCTCTGTAGGGAAGATGGATACTTCTTCCAGTCAAGTTTGAAAAAGCGTTGAAAGCCCCAGCTGTCAGATGTGTGAGTTGAATAGAGGTATGGTTTGTTCAATAAACCCCAGCCATCGGGACTGAGGAATACTCAGTGCTGTGGATCTCAAAAGAGCCTGAATGTGAGACACATTTTACCTGCCTGCTCATAGTATCAGCATTGTTTATTCCTGAGTGAGCAGAGAATTAATTTAATTGTTTGGGAAACTCCACCAAAGAAATCTTAGTCTTGTTTAGGTGTCTCTGGATTTAGGTAGCAGCAGAATAAGGATAAACCATATTTCAAAATAATGTAGCTAATCTGATTTAGATACCCTAGTTTGGTTTTTCTAATTCAGTCCAAAGCTCCAGATTCCATTTCTGTCTTAAAAGAGAGGAGTGCACTGTAATTGCATAAGTATGAGATATCCAAACAGTGTAAGTGAAATAATGTGTAAGAAATAGGCAGCTTTTTATCCAACTGAAAAATTCAAAACTGAGCATGAATACTTCCCTGCTGAAATAGGAAAAGATTTTGCAGCTGTGCTAAGTCATGCCCAAGATAACAATTTTCTGCATGTATTTGAGAAGCGAATATTGTCACAGTGATAGTCCTAACAGAGAGAAAAAAAATTAGTGATGGAAATTATGATGATGATGGTGATGACAGTGGATGTACCTCCAAACTCAAGATAACATGGAATTAGGACAGGTACAAAGAAGATATGAGATAGAAAAACCCAAGCATATTTAACACTGTCTTCAGTTCTTTACAAATTAATCCACTTTCAACAAGCAAGAAAATACTTTAAATTTTACTGATATTATTTTTACTTGTACAGTATTAAATATATCATATGTGTGTGTTACTATAACATGATATCCAGATCAATTACAATCTTGATGCAAGTTTGAGAAGTATGTAAGAAGTGTTCGAGTCTGTGTTCTGTAACAGGAAGATGAAACTTGGTGAACATAAAAGAGCTAGAAAACCTTGGAATCTTGCTCTGTAAGTTAAAATACCTTGAATGATGAGGAAAAAAATTTCTTTCTGTAAATCTGTCTTGCCTTTCTAATGGAAGATACATTTTGACCTACTGAAGTGTATTTCTTGTGTGCCTACTACAAGTAGTCTCAGGGGAACTGCACCTGGCCTTCAATGCTGTGTGCTTCCAAAGTGCCGGGACATCTTGGTCTTTCTGAGTCTGCATTTTTCTGTAATTAGATAATGAAAAGGAAGATCTGGAAGTGAAGAATTGAAGTTACAGGCCCATCAGATAGTAGTGAGCAATTGATCAACCAGTACATTCTACTTCCTTTTATAGAATCATAGAATTTGCAGAGCTGGAAGGGACCCATCAAGATAATGAAGTCCAACCCATGGCCTTGCAGAGGAAACCACAGGAATCACACCAAGTGCCGGAGAGCATTGTCCAAATGCTTCTTGAACTCTGCTAGGCTTGGTGCTCTGACCACTTCCCTGGGGAGCCTGCTGCAGTGCCCAACCACTCTCTTGTTGAAAAACTTTCCTGCTATCCAAACTAAACCTCCCCTGACTTAGCTTCATGAAATTCTCTTGAATTCTGTCACTGGTCATGAGAGTGAAGAGATCAGTACCTTCCCTGCTGCTTTCCCTCATGAGGAACATTTGACACATTTTACTGCTCTCCACAGTAAACACTGAGAAAATAGATAAATACACACAAGAGCAAATGCACACTGACGTGAGGTTTATATTGCCATTTGTTTGAAGTCTCACCCTTCAGAAGGATTATAAGCTGAAGTGAGAAATGTGGTTAAATTCAGATAGGAATAAAGTCATGGTTATGATCATATGTGTGCATGTGTTTGCCTACGTAACAATCTGGCATGAGAAGAGTGAGATTTTTTGCAGGAAATAATGAAGTTTTTGTGCTTAAAGGAGCAAATTTACAAATTCTAATGGTCACACACATGCTGTGTGTGATGAACATTGAGCTTATATTTCCAGGAACAATAAAATTTCATGTACTAGCGCTCAACACCAGAATTATTTTTTTTACATATCTCCATGCCACTGACTGTCTTGTAAGTTAATCTCATCTCTCATCAATTTTTCACCAGCTCCACTCTGATGTTGATAAAGGAGATGGTTCCATCAAATACATCTTGTCAGGCGAAGGGGCAAGTTCCATTTTCATTATTGATGAGAACACGGGGGATATTCATGCTACAAAGAGGCTGGATCGAGAAGAGCAGGCCTACTACACGCTCCGAGCACAAGCTCTAGATAGGCTGACTAATAAACCCGTGGAGCCAGAGTCTGAGTTCGTCATTAAGATTCAGGACATCAATGACAATGAGCCAAAATTTCTGGATGGTCCCTACACTGCTGGAGTTCCTGAGATGTCTCCTGTGGGTAAGTGCAAAATACACTGTTGGTGTTGTGGGAAATTTGTTCCTATTGCCTTTTTAAAAGTTTCATTATTTTTTACTGTTTCACACTAAGCTACTTAATTATCTATGAGACACCTGCAACAGTTAGATATTTCAAGACTAAACTGGAAATAATATGCTAGATTAAGTATTTACCCTTTCAAAAATGTTGTGAAACTCAAACAGCTATGCAAGGATTCAGCCATTTTATGGTGCATTTCGCATTCCAGGGCCCAGAGGCTTTGTTTTATAATTCCCATTAACAGTAATAAGTTTCACACCTATGTTATGGTACTCAAAGGTTATAATTTATAATTTCATTTAGATAAGGTCTGTTCATAACAAACCCTTCAAGTTCCTGCTAGTGAATAGCATAATTTTTTTGGTAAGTTTTGCACAGTTTATTAGTAGTTTATTGGATATAAACAAAACTAACAAAACAAAAAATAAAAATTTACTTTACTACAAATATGTATATGGGAAGGCCCACTTCAACCTGAGAGAGCTTTGTGGTGATTGAAATAACGATTTTCTTTGCTCAACTGATTTTAAACCATATTAAAATGTGGCACTCTTACAGTAAGCCTGGGCATAAAATTTTCTATAGTTTCCTCAGTATGACCTCCTGTGTTTTTGAATGTTAAACAATGCATCTAAATTGGAGCTAGAGAGAAAAAGAATCTTCCCTACCTAAGTGCCCTGCAGCAATCAGTAGCAAACATTGCTTATATATTTGAAACTCAGCTTAGGAGTCAATAGAAGATAAGTAAAACATTGCTAATGAGTTTTATATTTATACATTTATTTTACTAAGCAGTGAGCATAGACACTATTTCTCATTGATACTTGGCATTTGTTGTCACTCGGGCACTATGTGGATGGTTGAAGAGGCAATACTAGCCTTGGAAGAAAGACAGACACCACAACTTTTGCAGAGTAACAGGGAGGAGATGAAGTTCTGATATTTTGCTGGAAACTTTTTACTTCTGAACTTTGAAAAAATCTAGACAACAGATAATCTAATACTGTAATACCTAAATAATACACTTCAAAAATATGTTGTGTTAAAATACATCTGTTTTTTTCTTGATTAACTTGCCCCTTTACTTTAGAATAAGATTATTTAAGTAAGATGTAGCATGCAGCAACTATTAGATTTTTTTTCACTTTTGTCTTATGACCTGAAAAGAAATTATCTCCATATTTCACTTTTGTATTTATCACCTCTGTCTTTTCTTGCACCGGCATATTGATGTACAGACAACTACTACAGATATATGAGGTTTACTTACATGTACAAACCCATGCCCTACTCCTACCTATGCTCCATTTGTTCCAAAACTATATTGGAAATCAATCTATGGGGCATGCACTGTGTGCAGTGGAGAATATAAGGACTATCTTTCAAAATGAGCTGCTTTGCGTATTTTGTTGAATCTTTACATCATAAAGGAGTAAAAGATATTTTCTCCCACATGGACTATGCAACACCCAATGCATTTTTGATTCAGGTAAGTATTATGCAAGATGATTAACTGAGACTAGTGCACTCTCTAAATTTGTGTCAACTAAAGGTGGTTTCTGATTCATGAACTTCCTGAAACTGCACATTTTAAACACCTTCATGGTTAGTATCACACACCTAGCAAATACTGCATTGTTACACAGTTAAGGATTAACATGAAATTCCTTTGTCACACTTTTTCGCACTTTGTCGCACTTTGTCGCATTTTGTCTTACATAGTTACAGCAATTCATATTTTATTCATATAACATAATTTTTAATTAATCACCTAGAGCATCCATGAAATATTAAGGAGATACAAAGTATCTATCTCCTATTTTGTTTAAAATTGTATCCATGACAAGGATTTTTAATTGGATATTAAAGGAAATGAAAGAGATCACAGGATTATAAACCCAAATTAACTATGAAGCTAGGAAAACTATAACCTTTAACTTACAGACTGGTTATGCAAGTATAATGGTTCTGTATTTTGTTTGACAAATATTTTTGGACATGATCTAAGGCTAATTGAAGTCAATCTCTTCTTTTATTTGAAATGACTTCAGGTCAGGTTTAAATTATATTTGGGTCAGGCCCAATTATATTGATTATCCTGAACAGTGTAAATATCTTGATGGCTTATAAATCTATTCATGGCAAACCCACCAAAGATATGGCTTATCTGAAAAGCATAAGGATTTGTTTTTGTCATATTTTTTAAAGTGTGTCTGGTACTTAAAAAACTGAGCAGCATTATATTTCAAACAAAAGGATACTGGTCTGTTTGAGTTATAACCAGGGGAAGCAGGGACAAGAATTCCAATGCCCAACATAGTTTTGGTTTGTTTAATCTTCTCTGCTCTCCAGCCATATCAATGGCCTTGCTTGTTACCCGGCACAACAAATATCTCCCTTGCCATTTATTACCCCTGACTGAGATGGATAGAAATATCTGAATTATATAAGAACGTAAAGAAAGCAAAAGCACTGTATCAGGCTTACATCTTTGATACAGTGTGTAGTGGGCTTTGAGAGTCTGCATGAATTCTCTCTCTCCAAGCACAAGCCACCTCTGCTTCCCTTTGTCTGACCTTGCTGCTTAGCTGGGACCATTCTTGAGTTTTTTCCCCAAGTGAAGGCAACATAACGAGGCTATGGGAGGGGAGGGAGGAGCTGAAGAGGGTTCTGACTCTCCCCTTTCACACTCCTGGAAGGGAAAGGCTGTGGAAGCCTTGCGGCATCAGCTGTGGGTGGTGGAAGCATAGAAATACCAGCAGGTACTGAGCAGAACCAGTCTGGATTGTTGTACATAAGGAATTCTTGATAACTTGATAGTAAAGGTGTTTAATGTTTTTCGTAGCAGCTGATACCATGTAAAGATGAGATGCCATCATGGAGTGGTTTTATGAGTTAAACGTAGTACACATCATTAATTGATATAAATTAATACTTTTAATAATTGACTGCCTTAAAGCTTGTTTTTCAATTTGTTAATGTGGCTACAATTCAATTGATAAGAGTTTATGCAGTTTAAAAATTATAAATTTGTTAAATTATTCCAGTTTTAGAAACCAGTTTTATTTTGAATGATCTCACCAATATTAAAATGGAAGTCACAGAATCATTTCTCATAAAACCTTATTTCAAAATTTGCATAAAATATCTTGCAAGTTACTAGCAAGCTTTCTAAAAAGCTCTGTAGAGGTTTCTAAAATAATACATTTAGAGATTCAAAATGGATCCCTTTGAAGGATCTCCAACTTAATTTTCAGCAAGGAGTTTACCTTTTTCTTTTCCTATCATGGAAAAGTTTAATCTCTGTGGTGTGTCAGGAACATTGTTGAGCCTTGACTTGGCTAAATTTAAGTACAAATAGCATTCTAAATACAAGGCCCTCTCTGCAAATATCATCCAATCCTTTTACCTTAATATCAGAGTTTTATTAGGTCAAGTTCTGAGATTACTGTAATTTAGTAATCTCTGTCAAATCTAGTAGATATTATGTTACAAATTATCTTAAAATTTCTGCAAAATAAAACCAGGAATCTGTACCAGTCACACATAACTAAGTCTGTAAGAAACTACTATCAAGAAAAAATTACATGGAACATTTTGATAAGCAGTACAGATTTTTTCTCAGTACTTGCTACAATTGCTGAAAAAGTTTATGTTGTTGCTACATGTAGAATTCCTTTTAATGAAATGATATCGAAGTTTTGTTAAAAAGACACAAATATAGAGAAAAATAATTTTAGAGGAATCCATACTTAAAAGAGAAAGCTACTTTCAACATAAATAAGGCATGTTTCTTTTCTCAACCCATACAAAATACACAAATTGTAGGTAGTATTTTAAGTTATATTTGCAAAGCCGTAGTTTATATTAAGACACTAATGAAAGTTTGGGGTAGGGTCAGTGTCCTGTCTACACTTGCACTCCAGGGCTCTGAACAATGGTTACTAAACAAGATTTATTGGAACACTCATTTTGTTGGATGGAGTAAAGGTGTGGTACCATTTGTTGACAGCCCCTGTTGCCTGTAATTCCTAACCTTGGATGCAGACATGGCAGCTGACTGTCTTTGCTAGAGAGTAAGGCAAAGCATTCACGGATACAAGGATGACAATTTCAGTGCAGGAACACAAACTCTTCTAAGGTGATGTACTTGGATTGTACAATGCAACTACCCATTTTTCCTCACACTTTTAGATGTATTTACTATCCATAAGTATCCCCACAACTTTATGATTTGTGGTTTTTTTAAAAGGGAAGTAAGTATTTTAATTTAACCTCAATCCATTGCAGAAAGATTAGGACAGCAGTACATGGCAAGTATCCTACTCTGAAGGAATTCCTGTTCTTCAAAAGCAATCTGCTTCTTCTGGAAGAAATCTCTGGAAATTCTCAAATACAGATTTTTCTGTGCATTTTATTTCCTTGGAACAGATTTTCTACACATAGGACTTTTCACATAATTAGAATACCTTCTGTTATCTTGCATATTCTTGAAAAAAAATATTGTGCAGAAATCTCCTTCTCAGCATGGGGCTTCAAAAGCTCTTTTTGTGTGTGTGTGTGTATATGTGTGTGTGTGTGTGTGTGTGTGTGCAACCAATAAAGAAATAATGACAATATCAAGAGTTTCAGATCTTTCTCCTAGTGATGTTTAGAAGGAGCTGTTTATCACAGAAGGACTGTAAAAGTATCATTATTTTTTAGTTACTGATTACATTTGAATGGAATTATCGCAGAAAGATTTGATGTTAGAATTTCTACTTAAAAACCACCCTTTTCTGAAGGATTCATGTGTTGTAGGAGAGAGACAATCAAACTCAGATAATGACTTTATTTGTCTCCTGAAATGTAGAGGGTTTGTTTGCTACATCAATAGATTTTTACAGCAAACAAGCACTTCTAAACTTGCAGCATTTTGAAAATGTCTTTGCTGAGATTGCAGAGCTTGTAATTTCTTTGATCTTGTATTGGTCTGGGGCCCTTGAATGCAGCAAGAGCAGGGGAAAGACATAACTGTGTGAGAGGTTTATAAGCACTTTTGCCAATATTTGCAGACATTGTAAGCTTCATTGGCAGGGCTTAGTGACTTTGTAAATGTGGTAAGCCGGGCTTTCACAAAGAACACGGGATGTCAAACAGTCATTACGATACCCTTGTTCTCAAAAGCTGGATAGACTTAACGCAAGTTTAAAATAGGTCCCTGTATGAAATTACATTATAGAGTAATCTGTAAAATCACTTTGACATATGTAATCAAAGCTCGTAGTTATTGGTGTACAGAAAATGGATGTATTTTAAATCCCATAACTGATACATGACTTGATGGATAAACTAGCAATTTTATTTTTAAACTTCCCATCTACTTAATAGATGCATGCGACATTTCAGGTTGGGAAGAACCTCTTCCCTGTCCAAAAATACTAGACCAGTCACAAAACAGAAAAAATACATTTAAATAGAATTGCATCCATATTACTTTGTCATGGATACTTCAGGAATAGAGATCAGGAATGTGGGCTAACTAGGCCATAACCACAATAAATTTGTTATACAAATGATCATTTTTGGTCAGAATTCTTTCAAGCAGGACCCATCCTTTGCAGTCTGTTCCATTTTCTGGAGGTCTGCACTTAATCCTTTCTGCAAACTTTCAGCCTAGTCCCAGGCTCCATTTATGATGTTCTACTTAAATGAGAATAGAAAAGATGAGGAAAATGGATGGGTGATGTACTATATAAGATAAAAAGAACTTCAGAGCTTTCTCCCATTTCCTGAAAATTCCAAGTAAAACTGACCAGTATACTATTTATTTTAACTTCACCCTGGACACTTGCTATTGCAGTTTGTTCTTAAAAAGTGATTTCAAGTCTTGCTGGTCTCATTTTCACATGTCAAAAACATGTCCTTTCAGGAAATGAACATTGTGTTTAGCAAATGCTTTTCTCTAATTGTATGTCTAAATAAAGTCGATGAAGCAATCTGATCCTCTCTCGAAGACCTTTACTGGGCATCTGCCAAATTGATACAATATTAATTTGCAATCTCACCTCCAAATGGGTCCCTGGGCTGTTCGATGGAAGGTCTGAATGTTACAAACAATCTGCCAGTGAGAAAAAATAATCTTTTCTGTCTATCAAAGGGTGGTGACCATGGCCAAGGCCCTGGATCCCAAGTGTTATTTTATTCTGCTCTCAGCATACACCATGAAAGCTGTTGCCTAGAACAAAACAAATGGGAACTGACATGGAGAACATAATGAAGAGGAGCTGGATGCAGCATGAGGTCCTCACAAAACATAACCTTCTTTTTAGCCAGTTTCAAATTTTTCTTTCTTATTCCTGTTAATATAGAGATATTTTTTGCTCGAACAATCTTTACACAATAGATTACCAAAATTGATATTGCAGATATATTGAAGGAAATTAGTACTGCAGATTATTGAGGGAAATTACTGCTTTTTGAAGGAATTTAGAGACCACTTTCACCAGGTTTTCTCTGAGATGAGAAAGAAACTCTTCAGCCATCTCTTTATGAAGCAGTAAATAATTTTATAGGCTAACAATGATTTTGTGTACTTTTATCAAAATTTGTAAAACATATATGTGTATGTATGTTTCAATTTCTAGTGAGTTATTACAATTTCAGGAAGCAGACATCTCTTAAAAGGAGAACCACTACTACTGTATTTCATACTCAAGCAGACTTAAGGCTTCACCATCATTAGTGAAATTTTGCTGACACATCCTCCACCAGGCAGAGGCAGAGATGGAGAGGAGGGGCTAATGAGTGAGATAGTTTGTACTGCTGTGAGTCAGGGCTTGTGACTATTTGTGAAGATGGAATTCTGTAGTAGCTGATACTATCAGTTTACAAATAGAACCGGATACACTAAACAGAGTCAGCATGGAAATGATGAACAGCTGTGAAAAAGCCAACTCACACTGTTCCAGATATGTACTGGCATAGCATATAGAATAAGTGTAGTTCAGATTTTTCTATCTTTCATGTGCAACAGTCCCTTGAACATTTTACAGGTACCTCTGTGGTTCAAGTGACAGCCACGGATGCAGATGATCCTACTTATGGCAACAGTGCTCGAGTTGTTTACAGCATATTGCAAGGACAGCCTTACTTCTCTGTGGAGCCCAAAACAGGTAAATTTGCATAAACCCTTTGCAGTAATGCTGAGAAAAAGAGGAAAATGTGCATTAAAACTTGCTAGGAACTTATTAATATGACCTCTTTTTAAATTAAATATATTCAAGTTTTGTTGATATTTTAATCTCTTATTGTATAGAATAGATTACTAAAGCCACATGTCTGAGCTATGTAATAAACAGACTTTGCTGGAATATAATTTATTGTCTTTTTAATCTACCAGCTACTTGGTCTGCTGCCCATTTTCATCTCTCTTATCAATGAAAATTTTAAAATTCATTGAACATTTTTTTCAGATTTCAGAAATATCTAATATCACATAGCCAGGTTCCATAAGAATAAACTTAAAGCTCAATTACTCTTCATTCTACTTTTCAAACTGAAGTTTTGTTGTGGAAAATTAATTCCTTCTTCATTAATATGAAGAAGAAAACACTGTGCTTCTTATGCTTATTGGATATAATATTTTGCTGTCACTTTCAAAGCATATTGCTGGTGAAATTTTGTTTTTACAATTCTCTTGAAATTTTGTGAATATTTTTAAGCCACAACCAAATGCAACCTTTAATCCTCTGTTAGTTTAAAAAATATTGCCCGTTCTGCTGGATCATTTCATAATGCAGGAAAGTAGGTTTTTGGTCTGCTTATTTCAGTTTAGTGCTGGAGCCTTCACTTACTCCTACAAGGAGAAGAGTTATAATCTTCATTTTGGATATAACCAAGCTGAGACAAAAGAGAAAAAATATCACCCTTTTAATCATAAAAAAACTGTGATGTGAATCAGACCTGAGTCTCAATATTGTGACCAAAAAGTCACACTCTATTTAGCAACCTCTAAATTTGCAGAAATAACTACTATAATTATCTCCATATTGCAACAAATCCATGTTCAGCTGGGATATACAGCACTGTCCTTTTCCCTCCAATGAGTATGATTCATAGTGGTTTTCCCTCTGTTTCTCTTTCTCCCTCTCCATGTGTACTTATGCACCACGTACGTTGTGATGATGGCTGCAGGCAGCCCTTGAACAATAATGTGGTAGCTTCTGCTAAATAAAAATCTTGAAGAATTCAGACTGAAATGTTTGCACACATTTTCATCAGTTCGATATGATACTCAGTTTCCTGTGTGCATGACAGTTTGCTTCCAAATGATTGGGTAACTTTGCCTGGTAATTTAACTATGGCAGAAAAACAAGCATGCCAGGAAAAGCAAGGTAGAAACAATAACACTAATAAACGGTATGTTAATTGTATTTTTACATGTCTTGTAAAATGGGTGAAATAGTACCAGGCAGTCTGTTGGTGAAATAAATGTTTCAACCCAAAGGTGATTAATGGCAAGTCCAACATTCATAAGGGAAAAAAGAAATAAAACTCTAAGCAAACATTCAACAAATAGCAGATGAAGAGATATGTGTCCCAATGTGCCTCTTCTTTATTTAGTTTGTTTATATTTCTTTTACTGCTGACACTAAGTGCTGGAGGAGCAAGCGGCTGCCTCTCTGGAAATCAGGGTTAGCAGCTGTATTATGTACTGGGCATGAAATATTAATAAAATCATCATATTTTGAGAAGGCATATTTTTTTTTTTGATGCATATCAGCAGAGCAGAAAGAATGAAACAATGAATTTTCTTCTAGTTTTCATTTCATGTCAATTAATTACAAATTAATCAATTATGCAGATCATCAAATGGACATAACAAAAACTATTTCAGATATTTAAGTATTTCATTACTAAATAAAAAAACCTCTTAATTATGCAAATTATTTAGAAGTGGATATTAGTAAATGCAATGTAGGGCAAAATAAGATAATTTCATATATCCAAAAAGTGTGGCATGTTATCAGTATTGGCAAAAGTTAATGTCTTGAATGGGCATCCAAAAGATAGTGAACAGAATCTTGACATTAGACTTTAAAAAATGAATGCAGAATATTCTGTTCTTCCTAGCTCTAAAAGAGTGGGAAATCCAATACAGAAATTTACATCTTCCAGGGAAGAAAGTGTTACTCAAGACATTTTGAAGACTAGTTCAGGGAGAAGATACTTGAAAAACACAATCATGCACTGCATTACCCACTAAATAAAAATTGGTGGGTTTGGTGACTATTTAAAATAAGCTTATGGTACGTCAGTGCAACTCCTAGTCAAACCCTGTTCTATTAGTGTTGGAATTAATTCATTCCACTCTTGCTGCAATCACTGATCCGCTGTTCCTTTTGAAGGCAAACTCAGCTTTTACAGTAGCATTTTTTTGCTTGTGTGATCCTTCACACCTTGTCTTTCTGCAGGTGTTATCAAGACTGCCCTTCCGAATATGGACAGAGAGGCCAAGGACCAGTACCTGTTAGTTATCCAAGCAAAGGATATGGTTGGGCAGAATGGGGGATTGTCAGGGACTACATCTGTAACTGTCACCCTGACTGATGTTAACGACAACCCGCCTCGCTTTCCACGCAGTAAGTTACTTTGCAAATATGTGACTCTTAATATTAGTCTTAACACTGCTATTTTCTTTACACACTGTGCTATTTCAAACAAAAAGTGCTTATTTTCCATGTTCTTTGTTAAACACTGACTGCAAGACTCTATTACTATTATTATTATTATTATTATTATTATTATTATTATTATTATTATTATTTAGTAAGTGTTGTTTTTCTTTGTCTCATGCATACAAGATCAGTTGAAATGATGTACAGCAGCAGAGACATTTATTCATGTATTAATGTGAAATAAATAAACAAGAAAAATAGATCCTAACAGATATTTAGGTCTTTCCACCTAGGCTTCAGAATTCTTTAATCCTTCATATTCCTTTGGCATTGTCATGTGCTTACAGTGTTTCTTAAAGAGTTATATACCAAAGAGCTGGGAAGTCACCTTCCCTCCATTTGATTTCTTTGACCAAGGTGGCTTTCATCCTAATATAAAGAAAGAAGCACCTAAAGAAAGGAGTTGTATGTTCAAACCAGAAGAGCTCAGTTTATTCATAGTGTTCTGTCTGGGGTGCTTTTTTATTAATAAAAAAAAAACCCCAAAAAACATGGTAACATAGAAAGTAATGTGAAGGATATATTCGTGTCAGCTCCAGCCTCACCTCCAACGATGGAAAAAATAGATCTGTACATAATAGATTTCCTGTTATTTCAAGCCACCAACTGCTTGAAGTAATAATAGAATAACTGAAGTTGTTTTTGAAGGTGAGGGTGTTATTGGCTACAGAGTGCACTCTGATAGCCTTTTGACAGCATATATATCATTTTGTGCTTGAATATAAAAAGCTAGAATTCTCAAGATAGTGCACTTACCATTAAAGAAATGAATATATATTAGTTTTTAGTGATATTCAGATTGTGAACTGCCTAATCAAGATATAAACTATAGAATAATAAGTTTTTATATTGATATTATTTTACTTACTTGCTTTTCTTTCCTCCTTTCTGGTAAACAAAGTAAAACTGCATTATCAGGGACTCACATCATGATTTGCATTTAAGTTTTGAATTTTGTTTTTGCATCTCTGCTTTGTACTTCTCTTGTCCTATGAAGAAGGTATGCCTGTTGTACTTAGAGTCTATCACAAAGAAAACCTAGCAAAAAGGGCGATTCTGTTTCAAAACTGAAGAATCTATTCTTGTAGCCTGAATAAATGTTCAGGCACATGATTTTAAGGAATGTAGATTTAAGAAAGCTAGCTTTTTTTATTCAGCTTTCAGTCCCAGAAGACTCTGAATTCATTAAATTTTTAAATTTTGCAGGATCATATCAGTATAATGTCCCAGAGTCTTTGCCAGTGGCTTCTGTGGTGGCCAGAATAAAAGCTGCAGATGCAGATGTTGGACCTAATGCTGAAATGGAGTACAAGATTGTGGATGGTGATGGTTTGGGAGTATTCAAAGTTTCTGTTGACAAAGACACCCAGGAAGGAATCATAACTATTCAGAAGGTGAGTCTGATTTTACCCACTGATTCTGTTTGGAACTCTTCAAGATGGGGGCAGGTAATGAGAGCATGAGCTTTTGCTTCTGAGAGCCTTTTTTGCTGTAAATGTTTCCATTGGTGTATTTCATCTTCACTTGACTGTGTGATTTTGAGGTTTTTAATGACTTATGTTGAAAAATATTCTGCATTTTCTTTGACAAAACCTGTATTTTTGTGAGGTGTGCAGTGCTTTAAGGCACTGCATTTGAATGGGAATCTAAACTTTAGTCTCATTTGTCTTTGTATGAAATAGTAGAAAGTGTGAAAATATATCTTGCAGCAAAAATCAAAGCTCCAAATAAAAAATGGATCCTGAAATTAACTTTAAAAATAATTACCTGGATGTCTTTAGCTGAGGTGATACTACTCATTCAGAAAGCACACATAATTTAAAATTATATAACAGTAAAAGTAGTAGGTTTACAAGACCCTGTATTATTAAAAATATTATTTAGAAAAACCCTGAAAAATTTAAATAAGTATCTTTTTTCATAGCTTCCTACATGTGCAGTTAGAAAGCATTATGAAATTGAAAAATCATGTTGATATAAAATTATTAAAACTAAGCTTTCTCACATTGTTGCAACACATTTTAGACTACCCTTTTAAAAAGTAAAAATGTGCTGAAATATTTTTCAAGAAAATTTAAATTTTTTGAACAGTAAAAGAAATAAAACACCCTAGAAGAACCTCTCCTATAATTTCCTCCTCCTAATGTATGAATTCTTGGCAAGTCCCTGTGACCTTTGTTATGAAAAGGGTGTTATTTCACGGCCTGGGTTTCCCACCCAGAGCTCAGTCTGCAGCTCCCACTGCAGCTGCTCACCCAGCTACCTACGCTGAATGGATTCCTCAAGAATTTAATATCCTTAAAGTGTAGGAATGACTTGGCATTTTGGAATACATGTACCTATGTTTCCAAACAAGGACCTATGTTTGTATTTAGTATTATTCCATAACATATTTTTCTTCCCTATGTAGTATTTAATCTTTGTAAACTTCACCTGTCGGCTGGGGTGCTTTTTTGTCTTGTTGTGTTGGGGTTTTTTTCCCTTCTCTGGTGTATCAATTTCTTCTTCTAGCAATATAAATCTTCAGTTACATTTCTCTTTGAAAGAAGTTAAGTGTGCAAGATGTTCCAGAGCGATGGGCTAACTCTCTGATGCCCTTAACACTTGTTGAGAGCTGGTAATCATCCATAGATGTCACAACAAATGAAGTATGTTCACCCTTAAAAGATCATAATATGTGTAATGTGAATCTTTTTTCAAGGAAAAAACATCCAACTTAGGCTTTTTACAAAATGTACTTCTGCTTAGCACATTTGAAATACAAGTGATGAAAAGTTAGTAGTCTTTTTGTTCAACAGCCAAATTCAGTGTGGCTTCCTCAGTTTGCTCATTTAAAGTTTTTGGGCAAGGATTTGGGAGAAATGTGCCTATCCTAGAGGGCGAACATTTACCAGTGCCACAATGAGCAACACTGAATCAGTCAGGATCTTCAGTGATCTAATATGAGAACTGGTGAGTTAATTTCCTTTTTTTTTTTTTTTTAGTATGATTTTGTAGTCATGGTATTCGTTCCTGGAGTATCCTGATTTCAGTGCTATACAGTGGACCAAATAATTGATATTTGTTATTTCTATAATCATTTTAGCTAGGGAGCTGAACTGGACCTTTCACTACTGAATATTTGTCCAGAGAAATGCTCTATGGAATAGCTGTTAGAATACATCAAAAGGGTACAAATTTTTGACCCGATCAAATGGTCTAATCTGCTAATATATGTTGACACAAGAATTCAGGCTTCTTTCTTTGCAGCGTTAGACCTTTTCTCTAATTTTCCTACTATTTTTGACTTTTCCTCTGTGTGGTAGGTAGTCTTTGGCTAGTGCAAGGTGCCCACCAAGCCAGTCTATCACCCCCTTTTCAGCAGGACAGTGTGATAAAATAAGATGGACAAAACCATGTGGTTCAAGATAAGAGCAGTTTATGAAAGCAAAACTGAAGGTCACATGCATGCCAAGCAGTGCAAAAAACCAGAAGATCTTGTTCCTTATGGAAATGCCTGGCTGCTTCCTGGGAAGCAGGGCTTCAGTTCAAATAGCAGTTGCTTCAGAAGGCAAAGGTTGTAGATAAGAAATGCCCACTCCCCCACTCCAATCCCCACCTTTCTCTTAGGTTTCATGTCTGACAGGCACCCTATGGCATGGAATGTCTCTTTGGTCCATTTGGGTCCATTGTTCTGGCTGTGCTTCCTCCCAAGATCTCGCCCATCTGTGTGGGAAATGTTGGAGAGAAGCGCTGATGCTGTGCCAGCAGTGCTTGGCAGTAGCCAAAAACTGGCATGTTGTCAATACCTTTTCAACTACCAATGCAAAGCACAGCACTGTTCTGCTGTGGGGAAAATTGACTATCCTTCACTCAAACCCTGACATACCCAAAGGTGATTTCCCACGCTGAGGGCACCTCCCGAACCTCAGGATGTCCTTAGCTTTTCATTTTGACTCCAGGGAACTTAGTGCTTTGCCCAATGCCGAAAGACCCTCCCTGCCAGCCTTGTAGAGAACGTTTTCTAGGATAGAAGTGAGGAACTGAAGCACAGTGCCTATCAGGCAACTGCACTGCCTTCTGGACAATAAATTGAATTAAAGACCATTATTAATAACTGCATATGCGGGTTAAGTAGGTATCAATCACTGAACCTTACCTGCCAGATCACTATGGAGTCAGGTTATCTCTGCATGATAATGCATGCTTGTTAGTAAGAAGTCAAGGAAGAAATTAAGTTTGTAGCCTGAAATCTGCCTGAAAATTTTACTGTCCAGCACATGATGTTCTGTACTCCTCTGAGTGCAATTACCTTTCTCCTTTTCATGCCCTAAAATTAGCTGCGGTATTGAGAAACAGATCAGCCTCAAAATGCATGCCTATCCTTTTCAACTGCTGATTATTGATATGCTCAGATGTCACGTTTGTGTACACATCAGGCAGTAAAATGCCAAGGCAAAGACTTATGAAAAGGCGCACTTTGGTTCTAAATGCAAATGGGTGCTTTAGTTTTGCGTACTTCTGCTGCAATTGTACATAAAGCTCAGCAGGCTGGGCATGAAAATCACCGGCAGTAACTGAGCAGCTGAAGGCACTTCTCCATTCATTTTTGTGCTGGGTGTTGTTGGAGAAAGTTTGGCACCTGGTTATCCGAGTTCCACACACAAGCTGAGGATTTTGCATTCTGTTTTTAGAAGGATAACCACTTCAAGACAACTTTGAAAGTTGACTTCCTCAAAACTAACACTTTTTCTAACACATAAGTAGCATTAAATTTAAAAAAAGATAGTTTTTATAAGAAAGAAAATAAAACTGCAGGAAGAGAAGTGAGATTTAAGAAATCACCATGTAAAGATAGATTTTTATGTTCTTTTTATTTTTATTCCACAACATTCATTTTATGGAATATTAAAGAAAAATGCCCAGGGATGAGAAATAATTGCAGGAAAATGATCTTGTTTGAAACAGAGAGACACCAAGTACCATGATATTAGAATGAGAAAAGTGTTACATGGTTAAGTGTATCTCAGGATTACTGGTGAACAGATTTGGGTGTATTTAATTTTTTGTTTTGGATTGTTTTCCATGCCTGTTTGAACACATTTCTTCTCTGTACCCTGCAACAGGCTTCCTAACATCGCGAGTCAGCAGGGGGAAAAAAAAGTGTTTTTACTATTGATAGTGATTTTCCTTGAAATATATTGAGTGTATTCCTTCCTTTATATTTTTTCTGCTTTGCTATAAACCCAGATATCTGGCTTGCACAGTTTATTCAGGCTGGATTTTTCTCCTAACACTCTGAGAAGAGTGCTGTGTTCTGAATAGTAGTGGTAGTTCTGCTCACAGTTCTTACAGCCATGGCAGGACTAGGGATTACATGTTCCTGAACATGCTAGTACTGTTCCTGCCTAGTGCATAATGTGAGTGTAGATTAACTACTAGACTAAACTTCAGCTCAAAATAACATTTTGGCAATAGTCTGGCTCCCCTGTATTTACTCCCTTGACCATATGGAAGCAGACAAGGGAAGAATGCTTTCTCTGTGTCTCTATCCACTTGGTCTGTCCTTTCCAAGAGTAAAGAGTAGGATTGTACTACACCTTATGCAGATACAACCAAGAAGTATGTGTGCTTCTATCACTGTTGAGTTTTTGCAGCTGTATGGGTTTTCACATACTTGTCACACCTTATTTTATTTTTATAATTTTATTTTTTATTTGTTTTTTATTTTATCAGTTAGGATACTTGAATCAAAATTAAATGAATGAGATAAGTAGTTCACGTATTTCAGGAATTTGCTTAAGTTCCTTTGAAACAAAAAAAACCACCACCCCCCACCAAATAAAACCCAAACCCAAATAAACCAATCAAACAAAAACAAATAAACAAAAAAACCTCTCACACAACATTTTTAAAATATTTGGGACAAGGACTGATTTTTTTCATTAATTTATGGCTTACATAGTGACAGTAGGTTATGTTAGGGTAGAATTGGTTTTTGTAAGATTAGAGAAGCGAAAAGTTCATCTAATGACAGAAGCCAGTAAAACAGTGTTGAACCATTGACTTGGTTATTGGCACTACAAAAAATAATCTACTGTCTTCTGCAATACATTAACCAATTTCATATGCAAAACATGTATCCAGGATGTATCTACAATGGTATATAAAAGTGTGTAAATCAATTTTAGGCTATTTTCAGCTATTTCATTACCTGAAATAGGATATGAAAAATTCTAGAAAACAAACTTTGACTTTCTTTTTCTTTGTCTTTCCTCTTTCTTCAGAAGTTGTTATAAATAACAAGTGAATGAGACCCATAAGTAATATTCTCAGCTTAGATGAAGGGTGGGAAAGTAGTGGGAAAGCTAATAAGGGTCTTTTGCTGTAACCTACTATATTCATACAATTTGTT